AGGTACCGCCCCGGGGCTCGGGGTCCTGGGGGCTGGGCCCGTGTCCTAGATCGAGGGGAGCTGTAGGGTCAGGCCCCTTGTTCTCAGGCCCAGGGAGCCATGGGGTCAGCTCCCATATCCCCAGGCCCAGGGAGCCATGGGGTCAGGCCCCTTGTCATCAGGCCGAGGGAGTTGTGGGGCCAGGCCCCATATCTCCAGGCCCAGTGAGCCGTGGGGTCAGGCCCCATATCCCCAGGCCCAGTGAGCTGTGGGGTCAGGCCCCATATCCCCAGGCCCAGGGAGCTGTGGGGTCAGTTCCCAGGTCAAGTGGAGTTGGGGGGTCAGGTCCCATGTCCCCAGGCCCAGGGAACTGCAGACCCAGGCCCCAGGGAGCCGTGGAGCCGCTCAGCACCCTGAGAAGCAGGGCAAAGAGTGGGTGGTTGCCTCGTGATCCCCCGGGGCTGTGTCCCACCCACCTCCTGCCTCACAGTCCCGTGGGGTGGCTGATCTGGGAGGTGATAGGGCCTTTCCCTGCCTCAGAGGAGACAGAAATCGTCTATTTCTGGAGGCAGAGGCAAATCAGCAGGCAAATGAGAGCAGCCTCCCTCCTGCCAGTCACCTGCTCCAGCCCCGTGGGCTGAGGGCAGGGCCCTCCCTGTCTTGTCCCCTCCCTGTCCCCTCCCTGTCCCCTCTGCCCAGCACAGGCAGGGCTGGGGGGGCTGTTCCCACCATGTCCCCTCTGATCCCAGTGGGGGGTGGGCTGGCCCAGAGCAGGCAGGAGGGAGTGGGGATACTGGGGGCTGCCCGGTGGGAGTCAGGGGGGTGCAGAGGTGCCTCCTGCCACCCAGCTGGGGTGAGCCTGGTGCTGTGGGTGCAGCTGGAGGGGCAGAAGGTGCTGGAAGGGGGAGCATTGCCTAGGTCGAGGAGAGCTGTGGGGTCAGGCCCCATATCCCCAGGCCCAGGGAGTTGTGGGGTCAGTTCCCAGGTCAAGGGGAGTTGGGGGGTCAGGTCCCATGTCCCCAGGCCCAGGGAACTGCAGACCCAGGCCCCAGGGAGCCGTGGAGCTGCTCAGCACCCTGAGAAGCAGGGCAAAGAGTGGGTGGTTGCCTCGTGATCCCCCGGGGCTGTGTCCCACCCACCTCCTGCCTCACAGTCCCGTGGGGTGGCTGATCTGGGAGGTGATAGGGCCTTTCCCTGCCTCAGAGGAGACAGAAATCGTCTATTTCTGGAGGCAGAGGCAAATCAGCAGGCAAATGAGAGCAGCCTCCCTCCTGCCAGTCACCTGCTCCAGCCCCGTGGGCTGAGGGCAGGGCCCTCCCTGTCTTGTCCCCTCCCTGTCCCCTCCCTGTCCCCTCTGCCCAGCACAGGCAGGGCTGGGGGGGCTGTTCCCACCATGTCCCCTCTGATCCCAGTGGGGGGTGGGCTGGCCCAGAGCAGGCAGGAGGGAGTGGGGATACTGGGGGCTGCCCGGTGGGAGTCAGGGGGGGGCAGAGGTGCCTCCTGCCACCCAGCTGGGGTGAGCCTGGTGCTGTGGGTGCAGCTGGAGGGGCAGAAGGTGCTGGAAGGGGGAGCATTGAGAAGTGGGGAGGGGGGAGGTGGGGATTGGGGGGCAAGTTGGAAGGTGCTGGGGGGATGGAGGAAGTGTATGTGTGAGAGGGAAGAGATCAAAGCAGGGGGGTCCTGGAGACGATGGTGATGGGGGACAGGGTTACAGGA